CCTAAACCCTAAACCCTGAAATATTAGATTCTTGTTCTAAGGCCCCTAAACCCAAAACCCAAAAACCCTAAACCCCAAAACCCAAAACCCCAAAACCCAAACCCCAAAACCCCAAAACCCCAAAACCCCAAAACCCAAACCCCAAACGCCAACCCCCAAACCCTAAACTCATTACGGCCTGGATCCTGTCAGCCCGGAAGCTCCGAACCCAGAGACTCCAATACCCCTTAATTAAGGAACATACCTTAAGTCTTATTAGGGATCCTACTATAATTTAAGGTATATTCCTTAATTAGGGGGTATTGGAGTGTCTGGGAAGGTGAAAGCGGAAAAGGAGAAAGCGGCAAAGGCGCCGCTGCAGGCACTTGTCGGCAGCCTTCAAGAGGTAACCTAAACCCCTAAAGGTTTAGGGTTTAGGGTTTAGGGTTTTTAGGGTTTAGGGTTTTAGGGTTTTAGGGTTTAGGGGTTTGGGGTTTAGGGTTTAGGGTTTTAGGGTTTCGGGGTTTAGGGTTTAAGCCCTGTACTATAGGGGCCTAAAGACTTGCCAGTACTATTTTGGGGGCTCCTTAGTTTAGGTATAGTATAAAAAACACCAAGACCCTATTCAAATTATTAAGGCCCCTACATTACCCTAAATCCGAAGGAGCATTGAGGTTTAGGTTGTTTAACGAAAGGGGCTCGGGCTCTTTTCGGCTCAGAGCTTCGTCAGGCGGGTGTTGCGTTGTCCGGGTAGGTGGGTTCAGGGTTCAGGTTTAGGGTTTAGGGTTCAGGGTTCAGGTTTAGGGTTTAGGGTTTAGGGTTTAGGGTTTAGGGTTCAGGTAGGGTTTAGGGCTTAGGGTTCAGGTGGGGTTTAAGGTTTAGTCATGTTTAGGGTTTAGGAGCCGGGGGTTCGGGAAATCCATAACTTAATGCATCCAAAGCAAGGCGTTCGGCTAAGGGCAATCCGAGCCGTCTGCTGGGGGCTTGGGGGCTTGCTTCATTGGATGCACACTTGCGGTTTAGACCTTAGGGTTTTGAAGGTTTAGGATTTAGGGTTTAGAGGGTTTAGGGTTCCATTATACGGCAATCGAAATCCTTCGACAGAGTCTCCCAAGTTTCTGTTTCGGAGGTTCAGACTCAGTGTACACTCCGGGGGCAGGCTGCTTCGTAACTTAGGAGCGAACCTAGTTGCGTGAATCCCAGATAGAGATCTCCTTGAGTTACACCCTAAACCCTAAACCTAAACCTTAAACCCTAAACCCCTAAACTCTAAACCCTAAACCCTAAACCCCTAACCCCTAAACCCTAAGCCCTAAACCCTAAACGCCTAACCCC